TGAGCTACAGCCCAGCAACAGAGAGCAGGGAACACCGCAGATAGGAAATGCTGTCCTCCGGGCAAGACTGTTTCACTGGTGGTCACAGCAGCCAGGACCGCCTGCGGTACGGGAGCTGCACGGGCACTGGACCCATCAGTATCCTGCCCTGGAGCTGGAAGGGTTTGTAAGTTCAGATCCCTCGTTGAGGATCAATAAGCAGTTAATGGGTAGCCGTGGGAAGGAGAAATGTTCTCTTAAGTGGTGTAGCCACTGTTAAGACGTCCATGTTTTCCGGTGGTGGCGGCGGCAGCGGCACAAGCCTTTAATCCCAGAACTCAGGAGGCAGAGGCAGGTGGATCTCTGGGAGTTTGAGGCCAGCCTGGTCTATAGCATGAGTTCCAGGACAGGCAGGACTGTTACACAGACCCCATGTCTCAAAAAATAAACAAAAAACAATAACAGAATAAGCTCATAAAGTTGTAGCATGAAACATTTTAGGTCAAAGACCATTTTGTGTCCTTTGAACACACCTGAGTTCCCTTTGAAGCTTCTGAAGAAGTGAAGGTGGCGGCCTCTCATGCCACACACGATGTCTCCGCGCTGCTGACTATGAGAAACTGTGGCTGACTGACAGGAGGCCTCCTTTTGTCTGCAGACACTGAATTCTGAGGAGGGAGAGGTGTGCCAGGGAACGGACTCAGATGCAGGCATCTCGTATGCCAGCTTGTGGAACAGGTGCCAGGAAGTCGGTATCAACCCAGCACTTCTGTAGCAGTGCTGAGGATACAGGTATGTGCACCACTCCCAGCTTCTGGGTTAGATTTTAAAGCAGTTTGTTCCACAAGTCTTTCGTTTTGTTGAGACACCTCACTCCATAGCCAAGGTTGGTCTTGACTGAAGGGCATCTCATCATGAAATGCAGTGATTGCCAGTGAGTCACCACACTCAGCTGTTTGTAGTATGTGTTGTATGTTTGTATCCTGTGTTGCGTGTGGGTGGAGGCCAGAGGTTGACTTGAGTGTCTTTCTCAATTGCTCTTCACTTTGTTTTTTGATACTGAACCTGGAATTCACTAACTCCTCTAAATTAGCTGACCAGTTCCCTGGAGCAGGGATTGCAAGTACTTTATCCGGGTACCAGGGATCCGAATTTAGATCTTCATGTCCGCTCAGCAAACACTTTACTTACTCAATCGTCTTCCCCCAATCGTTTCTGTTGTTGTTTCCAAACTGTATTATTTCATGTGTGTGAATGTTTTGCCTGCATGTACACATGTGTAGCACCTGGTGATCCCAGAGAGGAGGTGTTGGAGCTTCTGGAGTTAGGGGTGCTTGTGAGCTGCCAGCTGGGTGCTTCAAACCAAACCTGGGTCCTCTGCAAAAACGGCAAGTGCTCTCAGTCACTGAGCCATCTCTCTAGCTCCTCATGTTTGTTTTGAGAGAAACTCTTGCCGTATACTCCAGGAAAGCCTGGAACGCACTCTGCAGCTCAGGTTGGCCTTGAACTCAGGACCCACCTGTCAAACCTACCAAATGCCAGGTTACAGGGGTTTAACCATGCCTGGGCTTTCCAGTTGGACCTGCTGGGGTGGAGAACCTGCAGGGGCACTATCTTTCCAAGTAGGAGATGTTCTTCTTAGCACTAGGTTTGGAAGTTGGTTTATAAATCAATCCATTTTTAACATACTGTCTACAGCAGGGAAACCAAGGAGGAGTAGAAATTTAGATGCCTCATTTAGCATTTAAACCACTCGTTAATAACAACCACGATGACTGCAGCCCAATGGAAAACTGTGTATAGAAACAGCAGGGCTAGAGTTGAACCGAACTAAGAAACATACTCATGACAAGTAAGCAGGAGGAACCAGACATGATAGCGCAGTCTATAACCGTCCTAAGAACCAAATAAAGGGGAGAACAATCTGGAAGACAGCAGAGTGGCAGCTGATTACTGTGTTTTTTTCCTTCCTCCCTCAGACAGGGTTTGTCTGTGTAACAGTCCTGACTGTCCTAGAACTCACAGAGATCCACCTGCTTCTGCCTCCCCAGTGCCGGGATTAAAGGCATATGCCAACACCGCCTGGCCTCAAAAACAGTATTTTTAAATTGAAGAATATTTTGATTTGCCTGCATGAGTATTTTGGCTGCAGACATGTTTGCACCCACAGAGACTGGAAGAGGGCACTGGTGCCCTTGGAACTGGACTTACCGACCATTGTGAACTGCCATCTGTGCTGGGCTGCCTCCAGCAAGCACTCTTAACCCCGAGTCATCTCTCTATTCCCAAATTGAAGAATTTAAAAGACTTTTTAATTTAAAAGAAGGATATACTCAGCTGGTAGAGTACTCTTGTAACTTGCACAAAGTCCTAGGTTTGGTCCCCAGTACTGCCCGATTTGGGGTGCAAGCCTGCAGTCCCAGTACTCTGGAGGTGGGGGCAGGAGAATCAGCAGTTCAAGGTCATCCTTAACCACACAGAAAATGTGAAGACCTTGACTCAATACGGGAAACTTGCTTCATAAATGTCCCCAAAAGGCTGGAACTGGTCTAGATGGTGCGGACGCAGTTACAATCTGCTGTGAGAGGTTTTTGTTTTTTCAAGACAGGCTTTTTTTTTGTTGTTGTTGTATTGTTTTGGAGGCTGTCCTGGAACTGAACTCGATCTGTAGACCAGGCTGGCCTCAAACTCACAGAGATCCACCTGCCTCTGCCTCCGGAGTGCTGGGATTAAAGGTGTGCACCACCAGCGCCCGGCTTGCTGTGAGAGTTAACTTAAAGTTTTTTTGGGTTTTGTTTTTGGAGATAGTCTGACTATGTAGCATTGACTGCCCTGGAACTAACCGTGTAGACCAGGCTGGCCTAGTTAGAGATCCACCTGCCTCCGCCCCTGGAGTGCTGAGATTAAAGGAGTATTCCACCACACTCTGCAAGGTTCTTCCTAAATCTGGGAGAGAGGAGAGGGAGGATCAGAGCAAGGAGAAGGGTTCTGGGCATAGGGAGGAGTAGACTGTATAGCCAGTGAGAAGAAAGCAAAGGTTTAAGAGCAGGGTGTGGAGTCAGGGCATTTTGTTGCTCCAAGTGTGAGAAGCTGAGTCCCTCTTCCAGCGCATAACCCAACACTCCCAAAAATAGCTGGGAGTTCATGAAAGCGCCTGCAACTCCAGTGCTATAGGTGGGGAGACAGGAGTGTTGTCCTTTTGTTTAAGTTAATGCAAGCGCGCCATAGAACACAGATATGAGAGATACATTAACCATAGTTTACTACAGGGCAGGAGAGTGAGAGAGAGGGAGGGTAAGGGGTGTGTCAGTCTCTTAAAGGGGTCCTTTGCACCTGCGTGCAGACTGGCTCTCATGGAACCCTGGGCTGACCCGAGTACTGCCTGAGTGCATTCTGCCAGGTAACAGGGCCAGGCAGCATAATGCCTGAACCTTTCGAGGAGGATCCTGGGACACCGGTGGATCAAGGTGCATATAGATAGCACTTGGGAGGTGGAGCCAGGAATACCGGGAGTTCAAGGCCAGCCTGTGATACACCGCACTCCATCTTTTTTTCCTTTTTCTTTTTCTTTAAAGGAGGGGACAGAGTAGAGACCATAGAGGCTGCTGGGAAGATAAAAGAGGTAGGGAAGGTCCTAAAGAAAGCAGAGAGTGGGCGTCACAACACAAGAATCCAGCCTGTCACATGAGCAGATGGAGTGGCTTAGGTCACATAAGAGGCAGCTGGGTCAGAAGCTCACCACCTGGCTCCCTGTCTGCTGTCAGAGGCTCTCACGGTTGCCCTTTCCTCCTCCGGGATCTTCTGCAATCGTTTACTAAGTCAGAAATGGCAAACTTTTTTTTAAGACAGGGTCTATTCAGTTCAAGCTGGTCTTTGAACTCACTCTGTAGCCCAGCCAGGCTACCTCAGCCTGCTGGATTCCAGGTGTGGCCACTCCAGTGTGCCACGGTAAACTCACAAAGTGAAGCAAGCCTGGGAGGGACTTCGTCCTTACCTCATTTAATCTCATTTTATGTAAGAGGGAATTGAGGTGAGAGGGTCTGATTTTTGAAAGGCCATATAGAGAACTAGACCTGAGGCACAGTCCAGGCTCTCATTCTTATAAAGCCACCCAGTTGCATCCAGACTCCTCCTTGTGAAAGTTAACGATTAGAACCTAGGCAGACCTATAGCATTGTAACCATAGTTACTAATTAAGCCAAGTTTACTGAGAAGAGCCATTGCAAACAGAGGCGTGGAATGTTCTATGGACAATCCAAGGACTACAGAATATGGTAGTGTAAGCCATTCAATCATCATGGAGCCCACTCATAAATCTTAACCTCTCTAGGCTTCCATTTTCTCCTCACTGCAAGCCACATGCTGGGCCTGGATGAAACTTTTGGAGGAGGCATTCAACTAAAAAAACTTCCCCTAGTGTTTGAGTGAAGTGGGTAATACAATCTGCTACTGTGTTTGCTGTCTCCAGATAGGGCTGTAATTACACCACACAAGGAGGATGGCAGCTGAGTCTCAATCGAGATCATTTAGCCTTCTTGTCAACGGTAGCGTTGTATTGCATTGTGCAAACCACAGAAACCATCTCCCATGAACCGCGCTAAGACAGTGTCCGATTGCAGCCTGTGTGACTGCTTATGCTCTTTCTGTGACTCTGTCTGTGGTGGCTCAAGACCAAAAGTTGACGTTCTGGGGTTAAAATAGAACTCCCACCACAATCATTCCAGTTCTGAAAGTTGTAAAAACCTGAGGTAGTCCCTAAATCAAAGCCTCATAAGTGAATACACTGTATTTGAAAAAAAAAAACTGGCATTTGAAATGTGTCTTGTTTGCTTTTAGGACAAGGTTTCTCTGTGTAGCCCTGGCTGTCCTAGAAATCATGATGTAGACCAGGCTGGGTTTGAACTCAGAAATCCACCTGCCTCTGCCTCCCAAGAGCTGGGATTAAAGGTGTGCATCACCAGGCTTGGCTTGAAATGTGTCCTAGACTTGATCTTTAAGAAAGAAAGGCAGACGATTTCTGATACAATTGAATCAACACCTGGTAACACTTTAATATTCAACTTCAAGTATGGCAACTGCCTAACATTTTCCCCACCGCTCCCAAATCTGATAAAAAACCTCGGTGTACAAGCCTCTCACATTACACCCACAGAGACATGATTTTGAGACAGTAAGCAAGCCCTGTTTTTGCTTAACTCATAGAGGAACGGTTCTCCACTACAATGGACTGGTCATCGGGGTTTGATGTGTCCTCGCTGGCTGGCATCCAGTGTTTCTCTTGACACCTGCAGCTTCCAGCTTGCTCTGTCCTCTTCAGAAGGAAAACCACAGCCATCGCCCTGGCGCCATCCCTGGTGTGGTCCAATCAATAAGGACTTATTTCCTGTGCATTTGCTGAGGTCATGGGAGTGAGTCTCATTAATTATTTCTGTTGCTGCAGCCTCAAGTGTGCTCTGGTGTGACAAGTGAAAACCGTGTGACCTTTTTTTCCTTCTCATTTTGTTTGTAGTGGTTCCAAAAAGATAGATTCATTAAGCAACGAGATAAAAGAACAGGAAAAAATACATATGTTTTTAAAATCATTAACATATTAGTTTTCTCATCATAAAAGCTCTCCTGTCCACCTATTCGCTGGGTTTTTCAGCTAAGGAACAATAGTGTCTTTTTAATTTGGTGTCATGAAAATCTGGTCACAGCAAACACAATGTTTTCTAAAGCCGATCTGGCCTCTGAGGGAGGGAAGCTCTCCAGGGCCTCCAGTGCCTTGTTTCCATGGTAACGACACAGGTCAATAGCTGAAGTCACACCTTTGCCAGCTTTGATTGTTTCTCGCAACTGTTAAGAAACAAAAGCACAATAAGTCAGTTTTTGGATGTACAGTGAGTGAGGGCCACAATTTAACTGGGGGTGTGTTGGAAACAAAGGCAGGGACAGATGTGAATCCAGTATCTCTGCTCCCTCCCATGGGGAAAGAGGCCATCATTCCAGGCGATCTCCAGCACCATTCTCTAAGGCTACAGGAGTGCGCTCCAGAGCCGCACAATAGGCTCCAATCAGCCCAATTACATCCCTCCCACACCCGCCCCTTGATCTGCAGAAAGGGCCGTGCTGAGCAGGCAGTAGAAGGCCAAGCAGAGATTTCTCTGGCACTCACAATTCAGCAGCCTAATCCTTTATTCCAGGAAGCCTCCACTAACATCTTCATTCAAACTTAAATTAAAGCAACAACAACAACAACAACAACCTCATGTTGACACAGTGATCAGAATGAAAATTCATGACATATTATTAAACCTTAGACTTGTTTAAAAATCAAAATATTTTACTTGGGAAGAATGAAACAAAGCATTTTTGTAAAGAATAAAACTCTCACTAACCAACCAACGGACTCACAATTTCTCTCTGTGATTATAAGGACCAAGGGGTCAGAAGGAGTGGATGCTATCATCCAAGGACATCTTGGCCCCGCCCCTTAGGGGACCTAGCAGAGTGAGCTACCCCTGCGGGCATGGCAAGCAGCACCCTGACTCAGTACGCAGGCGCAAAAGGTCCCTTTGCGATAAACTCCGCCCACTCCCGCTCTCTTTATATCATTCCTCCGAAGAGGAAGGCAGCACTGTCTGTCTGTCTGTCTCCCTTCCTCCCTTCTCCTACCCACTTCCCTTCCCTTCCCTTAAGAAACTTCCCATGTAAGTTCTGCCTGATGGCATGTTTGCCCCTGGCCCACCATGGCACCCGCCAAGGCCCACTCGCCGCATACCAGAGGCAGGTGGGTTTCTGTGAGTTAAAAGCCAACCTGGACCACATGGCCAAACCCTATTTCAAAAACCAACCAACAAACCAAGAACAAATGGACGGGTATAGATCTGGCCCAGCTTGGCCTCCTCCTCAGAGCAGCACCATGTTGGGTGGTTCACACTAGCTTAACTCCAGCTCCAGGGGGACCTTGCTTCCACAGGCAACTGCACCCGTGTGTACAGACCCATACACGTAACTAATGATAAAAAAATTTTTTTTCTTGGTTTTTCGAGGCAGGGTTTTTCTCTATTGTTTTGGAGGCTGTCCTGGAACTCACTCTGTAGACCAGGCTGGCCTCGAACTCACAGAGATCCGCCTGCCTCTGCCTCCCGAGTGCTGGGATTAAAGGCGTGCGCCACCAACGCCCGGCCTGATAAAAATCTTTTAAAAAATCAAAATGATTGTGATTTTGAGCTGGAAAAGGAGTCATCTTTGATCTTAAATGACGTTGTCAGAGTTTGATAGTCTTCTCAGTGAACGTGTTGAAGGTCTCTCTCATTCCCTCAGTCAGACAAAGACAAAGTCAGGAAAGGCTACTTAAGGCTGCTTCAGGGAGCTATCCAAGTAATCCCTCCAGGGCCTTCCCTCGGCCACGGGGGACAGACTCATATCTTCATCCTGGATACCGGGGTCACAGCAGTGAGTACTGTGTGTCTCTCTCACCTGTGACAGATGTGGACAGTTTCTTTGTGGATTTTGGTTTTTTTTTTTTGAGACAGTTTCTCTGTGTAGCCCTGGCTGTCCTGGAACTCAGATAGGCCTGCCTCTGCCTCCTGAGTGCTGGGGTTAAAGGCGTGCGCCACCACCGCCGGCTCTGATGTGGAGTTTTCATTGACACAGTCAGTGCGCCCTCATCCATGCTGCTCTTGGACTTATGCTTTGTTCTTTTCTCCTGTGCTTCTAGCCCCCAGCTAGGTTACTTTTCACAATGACCTCCTGAAGAGCCTCCCCAAACCACGCTGCATCACCGAACTACACCCACCATGCCACACTGTAAGACTGGCAATGCATACTATGTTGCAGGTACAGTCTTGCCCAAAGCCGGCCTCGGCTGCCCAACAGCGGTAGCAGTCCCAGCTGTTTCAGGAAGGATGTGTGGAAGTCCTTCCTCACACCCAGCTTCATTTTCTCCCTTCCTGACTTTCCTCATTATTAAGGAGACTCACTTGCATGTTTGGGAGCTGACACAGGGCTCTGCTGGGGTCATCTTTCCATGTCTAGTAAGCTCCCCAGCTCTCACCTGGGTGGGAGACACTCTACTTCCTGGGATGATGGCACTAGGAGCTGGCTGCTCTTCCTCTAGGCTGGCAGATTACCCTGGTTCTCCTGGAGGACAGTATTACTGCACAGTGTTGTCTTTTCAGGTTCGACTCACTGACTTCTTTGTGAGACTTTATGCTACATACTGTATAATTCATGAAACATGAATAAAAAATATATGCTGGTTTATTACTCTAATTATATAATCAGGAGGTCAGAGGTCCAGAGAAATAGATGGAACTCGGCAAAGCTGAGGTGAGAGGTCACATTTTTTATTTTTTCTTCTAGCATGGTGTGTGTGTGTGTGTGTGTGTGTGTGTGTGTGTGTGTGTGTGTGTGTGTATGCACCCACCAAATCATGGGTGAGGAGGTCAGGTTCTCTCCTACCTTATGAGGATTCTGGGGATCAAACCCATGTCACACTTGTGCAGCAAGCGCCTTTACCTGCTAAGCCATTTCCCTTTTTTGGGGACAGCACATCACTTTGCCTGGCCAACCCACTATATAGTCCCTGCCTGCCTTACACTCCAGCCATTTTGCTCCAGCCTCCCCCAAGAGATGGGATTACGAGCACGTCCCACCGTCCACTCAGGCCACATGTGGATGCCTTGTCCTCCAGAGGCACGCACCATAAACTTCAGATTCTGAGCACCCACACAGAATATTCGAGCCTAGGTCCCCAGTCTGCTGACAGTTACTGAGCGCACACCCAGCCTCAAGTTTCTATTATAGTTTGCCGTTTGAGGGAAGCCCCTCAACTGTTCTCAGCTTGAAGTGACGATGTATCAGCTCCTGGGGAGGGTGGAGAGCTGCATGAGAGAGCATGGATTACTGGGTGGTGTAAGCCACTTATAGCTCAGCCTCCCTCCAAGACCTCAGCTGCTGTTGCCTATGGCATCCCACCATCAGATCAGCTCTGCTCTGGGAGGTGTGTAGTGACATCAACGGCAGCTGGACTCAGATCCTGAGGACACTTAGTAGGTAGAGTGTGCCCCCATTTTCTTCATCTGCAACCTCCCGGGACCTGAATTGGACAGGTCCATGGTTTAGATTCTAGGCTGACAATGCAGGCATGTGGATGTATGTCTACAGGAATTATGTTGAATTTCTAAGAACTCAAGGAGCACCCACTACATGTGAGAGAGGAATGACCCTTCTCATGAGCCAGCGGCTAATTGAAGAGAAATGAAACGCAGCAATACCAAGGCAGCACTGTGGTGTCAGAGGTGCAGGGTGGGATTGACACATTAACCAGGAGACTCCAGGAAGCCTTGCAGAGTGGGTTTTGATGAGCAGATGCAAGATCAGGAGTAGCAGGAGAATTGTAGGGAAAGAGAGCGGCAGGGCAAGTGTGCACACCGGAAACAGTTGTGAGCAGCAGGCGAATGTGCACACAGTTGTGAGCGGCAGGCGAGTGTGCACACAGTTGAGAGCGGCAGGCGAGTGTGAACACAGTTGAGAGCGGCAGGCGAGTGTGCACACGGGAACACAGTTGAGAGCGGCTGGCGAGTGTGCACACCGGAAACAGTTGAGAGCGGCAGGGCGAGTGTGCACACAGTTGAGAGCGGCAGGCGAGTGTGCACACAGTTGAGAGCGGCAGGCGAGTGTGCACACGGGAACACAGTTGTGAGCGGCAGGCGAGTGTGCACACGGGAACACAGTTGAGAGCGGCAGGCGAGTGTGCACACGGGAACACAGTTGAGAGCGGCTGGCGAGTGTGCACACAGTTGAGAGCGGCAGGCGAGTGTGCACACGGGAACACAGTTGAGAGCGGCAGGTGAGTGTGCACACAGTTGTGAGCAGCAGGCGAGTGTGCACACAGTTGAGAGCGGCTGGCGAGTGTGCACACAGTTGAGAGCGGCAGGCGAGTGTGCACACGGGAACACAGTTGAGAGCGGCAGGCGAGTGTGCACACGGGAACACAGTTGTGAGCGGCAGGCGAGTGTGCACACGGGAACACAGTTGAGAGCGGCAGGCGAGTGTGCACACGGGAACACAGTTGAGAGCGGCAGGCGAGTGTGCACACGGGAACACAGTTGAGAGCGGCAGGCGAGTGTGCACACGGGAACACAGTTGAGAGCGGCAGGCGAGTGTGCACACGGGAACACAGTTGAGAGCAGCAGGCGAGTGTGCACACGGGAACACAGTTGTGAGCAGCAGGCGAGTGTGCACACGGGAACACAGTTGGAAAGGGCACAGCTTGCAGAGTTAGGTGTCAGGGGACCCAGGACAGCTCTAAAAATCGGGGCCAGGAAATTTGTATTTTTTTTCTTCCAAGTTTAACTATAAAGTATTTGAAAACTACAATGCTGTGTGATCCTAGCAGTTAGGAGCCGGAAGCAGGAGGATCAGGAGTTCAGTGAAGATTTCTGTGGTATAATAGCCTATCATGGCTGATTTCAAGCTGCCATGGGGCATGGGACACAAAATTCTTAAATATTTAATTATCACCATTAGGACTTAGCTTGGGCACATCCTTGGTAGCAGGACACTTCTCCCTAGTTTTCACTTGTATCTCCAAAGAATAATCTTTCACATAAGCACAATACTGTGATCTCACTAGGAGAGTTAACTAGAAACTTTTTCTTTCCCCGAGACAGGGTTTCTCTATGTAGCTTTGGGGCCTATCCTGGTACTCACTCTGTAGACCAGGCTGGCCTTGAACTCACAGAGATCCACCTGCCTCTGCCTCCCGAGTACTGGATTAAAGGTGTGCACCACTGCCACCTGGCTAGAAACATTTAAAAAAACCACTTCATTAATTACTATTATTGTGT